TCAGTGAAATGATGGGGGGCGCAGGGCTTGGGTATTTGTGGGAAAAAAAACAAATTTACATCGCTCACTGTGGAAGTCAACGGATAATGCCTAACATGGAAAAATCAAGTGGCAGCATATAAGATGTTATTTGTAAATACAGAGTTAAATATCAAAAGAATTAGCCAAAAAAAAAGCTTTAAAAGTTTTTGCCCCTAGCGAGGGGGAAGTAAAGGCTTTAACAGTCACTTTTTCCAACATCACATCCTCCCTGGGGCCTAGCAAGGTGTGGAGATAAAGGCCCAACCATTTCAACCCACCATGGTGCAATTCTGGTGGGCCACATTCTGGAGAATTGAACCTGTGACAAATAAATTAAGCTTTTTTTTTTTTTTTTTAATAAGCCATGTACAAATAGTTAATATTTCAAGTGCATGTTCGTTTACATTTGAAACTTAATACTTAAAAAAATATATTTGAAAATATTTTCTAAATTTTAATTACCTTGGCATCTTATGCTGTAGAGGCCAATTTGATTGAAAAATTTTAAACTAATGTATGACAAGTTAAAACACACAATTTTGGCTGGAAGTAGAAAGATCTTGAAATCAAATCTCAAAAATTAAAAAGAAAAGAGGATAAGGGTTCCATATATGGTAATGGCAGATCAATCCTATTAAAACCAACAAAAAACCTTCACAATAAAAACCAAAGAAACAAAGCAGTATGAAATTACATGCCAAAATACAGGAGGATAAATCAGAAAAATAAACACCATAGTCAGTCACTTTTTCCTGAAGACTTGTACTTATCCAGAAGAAAAGACTGAGAAACAAGAAGAAAGGCTGAACTACCGGTAGCTCTGCTGGGCTATGAAGAAAAAAATCGAAGCACAAGACTCACCAAACCCAGATGCAAATAAATCATCACTCAAATTAAAGTTGAGATCTTAAGGAACATCATTTGGATTAGGAAGAACTGGAAGTAAAATGGAACTTGTAGAACTCATGACTTAAGTCCTACTTAAAGTTAAGTGTAAAACAGAATTACTCTGAAGTCCTGAATATGAACTAAGTGACTTGGGACTGGTAGTGTGCCTGTTATCTTTCCTAGGAAAACATGGCTTCTTGAAAAAGATATCATTATCCTAGGACTCACATATTCTTATAATTTTTCAAATCCAACAACTGGCACACAGGCACACATGAAAAACCATGAAACCAAGAAAAATCATAAACCAGCAAAAACAGACCCATTACAAATTAAGAAATTGGAATTACTGGTCACAAACAACAATTATGAATACTGTGCCAATAAAAGCCACAGTAATTTTTAGTAAGTAGCTAGAAACAGTAAGAATAGATATAGGTGATTTACTTCTTAAAAAGACACTGACCCACAGATTCAAGAATTTCAATTAATTCAAAACAGGAAAAAAAAATTCTACACAAAATGCCATAAAGAAATAGAAGAAAACTTAAGACAAAGAAACATTCTTTAAAGATTTCTTCCAAATCAGCCAGTATTAGACTGACAGGTGACTTCTCAAAATCAACAATCAAAAAAAAAAAAAAAAAGCAAAACAAAACCTGAATAATGTGGAAATTATTCCTCAAGACTTGAAAAAACCACCACAATCCTACAATTTAAAAGACCCAAAACTTTCTTCAAGATTGAAGGTGAAAAAAGACACTTGGAAGGTAAGCAAAAAAATTAAGGTAATTGGCCATCAGTACACCTGAATTAAAAATATTCTAGGGGCTCTGATGATTTTGGTCTAGTGTTGTCGGCCAGACTCTGGCTCAGGTCATGATGTCGCGGGTCCTGCGGAGTTCGAGTCCTGTCGTGTTCTCCCCTTGTGCCGGGATACGCCCCAAGCCTGGAGCCTGCGTAGGATTCTGCGTCTCTGTAGCTCTTGCTGCCCCCACTCCCACCCCCCAGTTCACCCTCTGTCTCTGACTCTCAAAATATAAATTAAAAAAAAAGATCCTTTTTTTTTTTAATTTTTTTTTCAACTGCTATTTATTACTTTTGGACAGAGAGAGACAGAGGCTGAACCAGGGGAGGGGCAGAGAGAGAGGGAGACATGGGGAAATGAGGCTCCAGGCTCTGAGCCATCGGCCCAGGAGCCCCACGCTGGGCTCGAACTCACGACCGCGAGATCGCGGACTCCGTTGAAGTCGACGCTGAACTCCATTTCGTTTGTATGCCTCAAAAAAAAAAAAAAAAAGATTCTAAACAGTGTACTAAAAGCAAAAGGAAAAAGATCCTCAAAGAGAATTCAGAGATGCAAAAACAGTTGAGAAAATTCATTTACATACCCAAGTTGTTCCAAACATACTTAAGCATTTTTCAACAACTGAATCAAGTATCAATTTTCAAATTTAAACTAACACTTCATAAAACTAAAAATTCAGTTCCTCAGTAACACTTTTAGCCAGATTTCAAGTGGTCCATAGCCAGCCACAAGCTGGCTACAGTATTGGGTAGCACAAGTATAGAACTTCTTCGAGTTAAAGTTACAAATAAATTTAAAACAATAGGAATTAGCATATAAACCAGTAAGGAATGAAATGAAGATAAAAATCATCCAGGAAGCGAGAAATGCTCCAATTATAGAGAAGATATTTGCGATACTAGTCAAATATTTAAGTAAAACACAGACTACCCAATAGAAACATTGTGACAATTCAAATAAGAAATCCAAACAGCCTACAAATATTTTACAAATTGCTCAAAGTCATTAATAACCAGGGAACTGTAAAAACATAAAGCCACACTCATCATGTTGGCATCAACAAAAGACATCAACTGTTAGTGAGACTGTAGAAAAAAAGCATCTACCATATACTGATGGTGGGAGTTTAAATTGATCTATTTTCGGGGCGCCTGGGTGGCGCAGTCGGTTAAGCTTCCGACTTCAACCAGGTCACGATCTCGCGGTCCGTGAGTTCGAGCCCCGCTCAGGCTCTGGGCTAATGGCTCAGAGCCTGGAGCCTGTTTCCGATTCTGTGTCTCCCTCTCTCTCTGCCCCTCCCCCGTTCATGCTCTGTCGCTCTCTGTCCCAAAAATAAATAAACGTTTGAAAAAAAATAACAAATAAAAAAAATAAATTGATCTATTTTGGAAAAGTTTGGCATAATCTCCATTCTACAAAAATGCATACTATGCGTGGAAAAATACATGCACAAGAACATTCACAATAGCATTGCTCGTAACTGCTAAAAACTGGACACGATCCAAATGCCTATTAATATTAGATGAGTTACATTAATTGTGGTTTATTCAGAAAAAGACTACATCACACTATAGACATTACTATATAAAATGAAAAAACATGAACAATAGCTAAATGTACTAATTGGGTTAAATATTGGTGACACGTGAGGAAAATAACACAAAACGTGTAACTCTTTTTACATACAGGTAAAATACAGATAAAATTCATCTGAATTGGGTAGTAATGCCAACACTGGTGGTTAAAAAATACTTGAAATAAATGTAGAAAATAATTACCATAAAAATCCGGTTGCTGTTAACCTCTTGTAGTGGTGAGGCAGGAGGAATATTCAGGAATTGATGGGGGGAGGAGTAGGTCTCCAGTACTAGGAACGTTCTAGTTCTTGACTGTGGTAGTGATCACTCAGTGCTCACTTAATAATTACTCATCGTATTGTATACCTATGATCTGTGCATTTTTTTGCATAGTGAGTATTTTAACGTAAGAAATTAATATTTGTTACCTAAAGCACTTCTATTACTTTGCTGTGACTTTTTTTCTTTTATAAAATGATATATATTTGGTTACAATATAAACAACACTTTAAGGCACAGGACTCTAGTTTTGATTCCACTCGACAAGATTACTGCACACAAAGAAAGCAGTTAAGTACTAGGCAATGATGCATAAATAGGGTTAATTGCCAAAGCGTAAGTAAAATGTAGAAAACAAGTAACAACTTTAATTGATAGTGTATCCTAAAGAATAATTATTACAGAATTAAATACCTGTATGAGGAACAAACATGAGGAATTTTAGATTATTGGCCTTAAAAGAAAGTATACAGAATGATAATCTTTCAAAGTACTTTTACAAAAGAAATTAAAGATTGAAATGGTTCTAGTTAAGATTTATGAAATGATGTGAAAAATGGTGTGACTTTACTGAAAAAAAGCCTTACTGATGTAAATACACGAATCCTTTAATAGTCTGAATTATTATCTTATGAGGGAAACATTTCCAGCAAAAATAGGTAGCATTTAATTGAGAAACCAAAGGATCTAAATCCGAGACTAGTAACCAAAAAAACTTAAAGCAAAATATTCATTTAAAAATCACTTATCTACACCATAGAAAAGGAAAAATTTGTGATGTCTCTTCTCTATCAACCGTTACATTCCTCCATATCGAGGACTACACAATCCCATATCGCTTTCTGAGAGCAAGCATAAGCGTTTTGTTGCAGCAACAACGCCAAGCTATAAAGAGGAAATTCCATTCAAGACTTCCCAAGCTTGCTCCCTCCCCAAAAACCACTCCAGAATTCCAAGGAGGGTAGCGAAGTAAGGAATAATGGTCAATACCTAATACAAGCAATGCATCTAATGCCAGAGTTGTCAAAATTCACACATGGCGCTTCTCTCTTCCCCTGCTCTGAAGCAGTCAACAGTCATCTGCATAGGCTCCAAAGATTCCATTTCTCTCTGACAGCAGTATCACCACATTCCTTACAACCACCATCGGGTGTAGTCAACACCCAGCCAGAGACCTAGTTTCATGAGGAATCCCTACAAGCTTCAGAGATTTGTAGGCAGCCTCACAGGAAAGCCACGAGACAGAAGTGGCCTTCCAGATTTCTGGCCTGCCTGGCCTAGACAAGCCTGCCCCCTTCCCGCATTCTGAGTCTCCACAACCTTCCGTCCTCATTCTTTTCGATTCGCCTTTCACCACTGGCGACCTTAGGCCTTCGTTTCGAGGCCAGCCTAGCCCATATTACCTCTCACAGAAAAGACGCCCTTACCACGGCAGAGCAGCAATCTAGCCACCACAGGAACCGCTTCACAAGCGCCCCTGGCCGCGTAGTCAGCTCAGCTTCACCTGCCACTGCCAACAGTACACCAATACTCCCGGCATTCCCCGCGCACGCAGCGCGTCTCCCACCCCGCCCCACTCCCGCCCAAACACGTGACCTACATTAGTCTCCGTCCACGCCCACTTCCGTTCCTCCACTTTCCCTTAGGAGGTAGGAGGGGTCAGGGGGTTGTTAAAGAGTAGCGACTTCCTCCTACTCCCCGCCCCCGCCCCTCTACCCCCTGCTACAATGTCTTCCGGGTCGCAAGTGCCTCGGAGCCTTCTGGGAAACCAGATCATTTCCTCCCCTCCC